CACTAGCAACCCTTCATATTTTCTCATCAAGATTATTATTTATTTGGGTTTTGTTGCCACTACCATCTTTACCTCAGAAGTTCTTAAGAGAGATCATTGGTACACTACAATTATTCGACCAAATGCCTAATCACACCATAAAGACGAGCCGATCTCGTGGTTTCCTTATTATTGAACGCGAGCCTTTGCTTGTGGATTTGTTATTATCAAATAAATTTTATAAGTCATTGTTCCTTGAATAAAGGAAGAGACAATATTTTATAAGTCCCCATTCCTTGAATAAAGGAAGATGCAATATCTTTGAGTTCTCATTCCTTGAATAAAGGAAGAGGCGGCATTTTGGATTCCTCATTCCTTGAAAAAAGGAAGGGGTAAATTGCCAGACGTGTTTGCCCTTGAAAAAGAACCCTTTCCTAGTGTTGTTTGCCAGATGTTTATCCCTGGCTTCGCGGGATGCTTATTCCTCACCTCGTTATTGTCAAGCCTAGCTCTAAGTCCTCGTTTATCCGAGGCCAGCATATAAGACTCCGATAGTTCGACAGTTATATACGAGATGTCTATTCCCCACTTCGCCAGATGCTTATCCCTGGCTCAGCGAGACTTTTCCTTGCTTCATTATCGCCGAGCTTAGCTTTAAGCCCTCGTCTATTCGAGGTCAGCTTATAAGACTCCGATAGTTCGACAGTTCGCCAGATGTTTATCCCTGGTTTCGCGGGATGCTTATTCACCGCCTCATTATCGTCGAGCCTAGCTCTAAGTCCTCGTTTATCCGAGGCCAGCTTATAAGACTCCGATCGTTCAACAGTTCGCCAGATGTTTATCCCTGGCTTCGCGGGATGCTTATTCTCCGTCTCATTATCGTCGAGCCCAGCTCTAAGTCCTCGTTTATCTGAGGCCAGCTTATAAGACTCCGATTGTTTGACACTTCGCCAGATGTTTGTCCCTGGCTTCGCGGGACGCTTATTCCCCGCCTCATTATCGTCGAGCCTAGCTCTAAGTCCTTATCTATCCGAGGCTAGCTTATAAGACTCCGATCGTTTGACAGTTCGCTAGATGTTTATCCCTGGCTTCGCGGGATGCTTATTCACTGCCTCATTATCGTTGAGCCTAGCTATAAGTCCTCGTTTATCCGAGGCCAACTTATAAGACTCTGATCGTTCGACACTTCGCCAGATGTTTATCCCTGGCTTCGCGGGATGCTTATTCACCGCCTCATTATCGTCGAGCCTAGCTCTAAGTCCTTGTTTATCCGAGGCCAGCTTATAAGACTCCGATCGTTCGACACTTCGCCAGATGTTTGTCCTTGGCTTCGCGGGACGCTTATTCCCCGCCTCATTATCGTCGAGCCTAGCTCTAAGTCCTCATCTATCCAAGACCAGCTTATAAGTTTCCAAGAGTTCGACAGTTCACCAGATGCTTATCACTGGCTCAACGAGACTATACCTCGCCTCACTATCGTTGAGCTTGGCTCTAAGTCCTCATCATTCTGAGGCAAGCCACTAAGACTCCGATAGTTCGACAGTTATATGCGGGATGTCTATTCCCCACTTCGCCAGATGCTTATCCCTGGCTCAGCGAGACTTTTCCTCGCTTCACTATCGCAGAGCTTAGCTTTAAGCCCTCGTCTATTCGAGGCCAGCTTATAAGACTTCGATAGTTCGACAGTTCGCCATATGTTCATCCCTGGCTTCGCGAGATGTCTTTTCCTCGCGCCTCACTATCGTCGAGCTTAGCTTTAAGCCCTCGTCTATTCGAGACCAGCTTATAAGACTCCAATAGTTCGACTCTTCACCAAACATATGTTCCCCGGCTTCGCAAGATGAGTATCTCTCACCTCACTATCGTCGAGCTTCGCTTTAAGTCCTCGTCTACCCCAGGCTAGCTTATAAGACTTCGATAGTTTGACAGTTCATCAGATGTTTATTCAAGGCTCTGCAAGATATTTTCCTCACTTCTCACTATCGTCGAGCCTGACTCTAAGTCTTCGTCATTCCGAGGTAAATCACTAAGGCTCCGATAGTTCGAGACTTATTCACGGGATGTCTATCCCCCACCTCACCAGATGCTATCCACAGCTTGACAAAGCTTCAACTCTCCTGACGCGGAGTCCCCTGCGGGTCATCGCCTCGGTTGCAGCGTTGCAAAAGCTTTACCGACCTTCAGCCATCTCCCGCATCGATCGTAGATGAGCTCTTCACTCAGCTTTACAAAGTTTAGACGCATCTGACGCGGAGTCTCCTGTGGGTCATCGCCTCGGTGACTGCGTTCCCTCCTAAGCTTTACAAAGTTTTAGCCGTCTCTCAACGCGTCATCCCCTGTGGGTCAGCACATCGGTGGCAGATGAGCTCCTTCCTCAAGCAAGCATTGAAGCTTCAGCACCTTAGTTGAAGATGTGTCCCGACCTTCAGCTTCACAACCTTTAGCATCTCCCATCCGTCGTCCTATGAGTCAGCGCTTCAGTAGAGACAGCTGAACCTACGACCGCAGCAGCAACCATACACTCAGCTGATCTTAAAAAGTCAACGGCTGGTATACATCAATATGCTTCAGTATCAGGACAACTACTTATATTCAGTCCAGAGCATCGCCTCTGCTATTGCATTCAGAGCACCGTCTCTGCTATCAGAGTATCGCCTCTGCTACTCCATCTAAAACATCGCCTTTGCTACTACAATCAGAGCATTACTGCTGCATCCAACGCATCACCTTTGTCGCCTATGCTACTTACATTTAAAGCATCGCTTCTACATCAACTTTATCACAATGGTACTTCAAATCCGACCCGTATATAAATATTCGGCTCAGACTTGGGGGGCTGCATATTACTGCTAGCATACGCATCACATTACTGCTTCCAAGTATGAGTGACATATCACTGCTACAATGTCATACATTATACACATCACATTACTGCTTCCAAGTATGAGTGACATATCACTGCTACAATGTCATACATTATACACATCACATTACTGCTTCCAAACATGAATGACATATCACTGCTACCATGTCATACATTATTTTCATCATAGCCAGTACGTATGTCGTATCATCATTATTTTCATTTTATTGTCGACATCATGTTACTTGCTTTACTATAGCACTACCGATACACTGAGCTGTGCGAGCACATGATTTACTATGATGAATGATAGACCCTCTGCACATATCTTGGAGAAATGTGATATGTTACACCTTATGAGCATTTGAAGGGGCAAATGGACCCCAAATTGATTTGGTATATGTGTTGTGGATATATTGTATTGTATTACAGGATTGTTTAGTCCATATTAAGAGGAGATGCTGCTGGAATTTTCAAAAAATATATGCAGTATATCTTTCGAGACAATTTGTAAGCCTTCACTTATTCTGACTCACATTTTTTGAGGCGGTTCGTAAGTCCTCACTTATTGGAACAACTCATATTTCTCGAGGCAATTCGTAAGTCCTCGCCTATTCGAGATCGAGGTATATTCTCGAGACAGTTTGTAAGCCCTCATTTATTGGAGCTACGTATCTCTCTGAGGCAATCTATAAGACCTCGACTATTTCTGAGTTTATATTTCAAGTCCGACCCGCATATAAATAATACGATTTGAACTTGGGGGGCTACTGTTATGCCTATAAATTATTACTCCATATTGGATCATTTTATTGAACCCGAGTCAGACCCATTAGTGTTGGGCCCCAAAGCCGAGGCTTTGACAAGGCCAACCGAGGCGAAGCTGAGGCCCTAAGAAGTCTAGCCGAAGCGCTTGCCGAGACGCCTATTATTTTGCTCACCTCGTATTGGGCTCAGACTTAGGCCCACTAACCCGTTTGGCCCGCTTCACATCCATTTCTCTATATATACGGATTCAACTCACACAATCAAGGTATGTTCTACACTCTCTAGCCAAACTCTCATCTCCGTACTATTACACTCTATTTATCTATCTCCGTCCGGCCGTTGACTTGATCGTTGGAGTGCAAACGGTTGCCGGACTCTTTTCTTGTCCGGCCGCCTTTGCCTCCTAACGGGGTGCTACTTGCGCAGGTTGCGAGGGGGTGAGGTTAGAGAATCTGTTGGAGCCAATTTTGGAGGTCAACAGAGTTCAAGTCGTGAACTAAGTCCACGAAGAAGAAGTACACTTTATACGTGAAAAGAAAGTCAACATAAGATCAAACAATCCTGATTCTTCCTCTTTTATATTTTATTTTCATGTTCTGAAAGGAATTTCAATATATTCTTTTTAAACCGAGTTCATCATATAAAAGAGTTTTGTCAACTCTTAACGGTCCAATTTTAAAGTGGACCTGATTTTTTCTCTCTTCATTAAGCTATTCTAGATTTTTTGTATCATTCACTCGACCAAAGTCCACAATAAGCTCACATAAAGACAAATTAGTAGAACACTTTTTCTAGAATTTTTTTTGAAGTGTAATATATGTGGCATTCGGTGGAGTTGATGGAATAATCAATAGTCTAGTAAAAGGAGGAAAAAAATAAATAAATAATCGCAAGCTGAATGAATAGTATTGGTTTTTCACCGGATTAATGATTTTTGTACCAAATTTGCATGTGTTTTAGACTAATAAATTAGTTTGTCTTAGTTTCTTAAAATTAAATCATTTACACATGATAATTCATAATAAAATGGAGGATGATCTACTCGACAAGCACAATTTCTTCATATTTTGCTTTAAATATTTTAGTTCGTTATATTATTGAGTTTTTCTAATTTCACTCCCTAAAAACAACCTTTAGCCCCCTCTCTGCAGTATCAATATGATTGTTAAATTATTTTCTTGATTTATATACTCTCTAACATATTAATCCATGTAGAAAATATTAATAAATTACTCCATTCATGGTAAAACTTTGATGAACAATAACTAATGAAATTACCAAATTGAACAAATATTTGTACTTTGATATAAAGAATCATGAATTTATGTTGTATTAACCAATTGATTTTAAAAAAAAAAAATGATCTTACGTCAAGAGATCAAATTAAATGCAGCAAAAAGTAAGGTTTTATTTTAGTACCACGCCGAAAACAGAAGAAAAGAAAGAAAAAAAATTGAAAAAGAGGGGATCATGATCATCAAATCAACTGATCATCACTTGAGGGTCTGTTATTCTTCCTGCTTAAAGCCTCTGCCACCATCAGTCTTCCTTTCTTGTTCACCTGGAAATCTGGTTTCTCCAAGTCTTTCATTTTCAAATTTGATTCTTCGCCGCTCAGGTTTGCAAATGATTTTGATTTTCCTCTGTAGAAATTCGACAGTCCTCTCCTGTAAAACATTTGGTAAATATGAATAGAACAAACCTTAAGATGCATGGAAATTAAAATAAGAAAACACGACACAGCGAGATTACTGACTTTATTGGAAGAGAGTCTTCCAGGGAAGCTATAGAGTTAAGGGCAGCATTGACAAGTTCACTTTGAACTTCGTTCTCATCAACATCATCGTCACTTGGTTGTCCAATACTGGACGATGATGTTGTCACCGGCGGCCTCGGAAGAGGAATTCGACGTTCGTGACTTATTTTTCCTCCACCATTTCCAGCACCGCTCATTCCTCCAGGGCTTCCACTGGTTACCACCCTGGACATGGCTAAGGGAAAATTTGAGTAATAATAGTAGTAAACAGCGGCCGCTTTTATAGAGAGGAAATGAAATTAAGGGGTACAGGGGATAGATTAAAGTTGGTGGAGGTTAAGGAAATCTGGGAGTATTCCCCCGAATTTGACATGTAATCAAGTGATGAGTGTGTTCTCTTCTATATCACCGTCACTTCCATGTTTTAGAGGGATAGTGAGAGAGATATAGTGAGAGAGAATAGGCGTTGTATACTTGTATGTATGAATAAATTATTGGAATAACGGAAGTAGACCCCGCTTGACTGCTGACGTTTCTTAGGGATTGAGTCAAGAGGTGGAATTTGTCCGATCCTAAACCTCAACTCGGGCCGGGTTTTGGCATTAATATTGGAAGGTAGAGTTATAAATTAACTCAACTTTAATTCAACGAAATTTGCTATTTGTACATGAGATGTACAAATTTCTTTATTTCAAATTTAATTGCGACTCCAAATCTTTATTTCACATTCCTCAATAAAATGTTTGTTAGCCATTTCAACCTTAAAAACTCATACGCGTGCCACTTACTAAGGAAGGCAAAATCTCCAGCTTCGTCCCTGGCGCATGTCACCCACAATGCGCCCCTGGTGATTGGAGCGAGAATGGGGAACACGGTTTCTAACCAAACTATTTTTTTTTTCCTATTATATTTTATATATTTTTAAATTTAAATATTATTTTTAAAAAAAATAAACGAGCGCGGAAAATAGAAATATTTTAATCTCTATATTCTGACTTTATTATTGTAAATCTTGTATTTTCTCTCTAGTTTATAGTACGTTATCACCACGAAATTATAATCAGTTGAGTTAGCAAAACTTATTAATCTTCCTATTAACGAATCCCTAACGAAGTTGGTAGAAAAATTCATTCATCTATCGTTCGAAGAAAGAGATGAAACTTTAATCAATTGAGTTTACAAAAGAAATCTTCTTTTTAGCACAAAGAAAATGTTAGTTTTATTTTAACTTTGAATTGCATAACACAGAGGTATAGTTATTCTATCAAGTTGTATTGTTTTAATTATACCAATTTATGATTTATATTATTCTTGGAAAAAGAAATAATTTAAATAAGTATTTCAGAAAAATATTATATCTTTGCTTGAAAAAGGAATATTATATTTGTATTGCTCTTGAAAAATCAATGTTTCACACATAACAGTATTTAAAAATAATATTGTATTGTTACTCTTTAAAAAAGTATTTAAAAATAATATGTATAAATCATATACATCTTAATGTTTTTAAAGAATAAATTATTATTATTTCTTCCTAAATAAATATATGAATTTATATGAACACTGGTTTAGAAAAATATTGAATTGATATCCTAAAAAGACATGACTGTATATATTCTGGAAGAGTTGTATTATTAATTCGGAAGAAGTATAATTTTATTTCTATTAACATGTCTTTGAGCTAATAACTTGATCTTGAAGAGCACAAGTCAATTTTCTAGAAGAATTAAATCATTGCCCTGAATAAGCAGTATTTTTTATGTCAATTTTTTTGAAGACTACTTCGTTGTGCTCTTGAAGTAGCACAAATCTCAAAAAAATCAATATTTCGGAATAATATTACTATATTCCTTCTGAAATAGAATCAATGAAATACATAAAAGTCTATTGATTGATCTTATTTGTGATACGAAAGTGACAATGAAGAACATTAGTCCTTCAATATATTATGGGATATGTCACATCCAAGTTATTATATCGAGCTTATCATGACTCCCTGAAGAAGCTATGGATGAATGATTGAAACCAATATCAATATAGTACCAAGTTCTGCAAATTTAATTAAAGGCACTAGTAGAGTCAATATTATATGACATGGAGGGACAAAGTTTAATATTTATAGTAATTTGGTCTTCACTAAATTAAAGAGGAACCTACAAGTTTCTAAAACGTGTGTTATGATTGGTACTATATAGATATTAGTATCATTGAACCTCTTATATTATTGAACTAGAGTTGTAATTATTGAATATTTATATATGATCAATTAGATCATCATTGAATCAATAATGATTCAAAATTGAGAATTTAAATGGACATTCAATAAAAAATCAGAAAAATCTTCAATCCAATGAATTTTCATATAATGTTTGTTCTCTGTATCATGAACTGATCATGGATAATCCCTGGTTAAAGTTGGGACTAAATCTCTATAATCTTAAAAAAATAATTAGGATGATATATGATGCTTGTCACCTCCACGTTGATCATCTAGATATAATTTTATCTAATAAATTCATTTACTAAATGATTATATGATGTTCACAACCTAAAATTTGTGATATACTTAGTCAAATTTGAAATTATGAGTATAATTTTAGATTACACCATCAAGACGATATCATGTGTCAATGCTAGTGAGTCCACAATCCAAAACTTTTGATAAATGGTGGTTGAGATGACGATAAATGGTTAAAAACAATTGATTTTTAAGTGCCTACAATTAATTTATAAACAACTACTATTAAGAATAAAGTACTTCTCACTAGGAAATATTTCAATTTTACAATATGCATACTAGTGGAATTTTCAACTTGGGATGATGATAAACTGTTTAACACAAATGATCGTCAAGTACTTTCAATTAATTTCTTAATTAATATTTTTGAGAACAAAATGCTTTTCATTTCCATATAGAGAATTTGCAATTTTATGAATATGCATAGTAGTGACATTTTCAACTTAGAATTTGATGAAAATTATTTAAAGTTTTTAAATTTAATATACATTATTAATGCCTAATTTAAATATTAACAAATACAAACTTATCAATAAAACCTCATATTTATAACATCATAAATTAAGATATGATGCTAAATACAATATGAGCATATAATTTAACCATTCTCACAGTCGCCGAACTTTCCCCTCCCATAGCATTTTCACCATCATCCCCATCTTACAGGGACATTCTCAACTAAGATTTTGATAAATTTTAAAAATTATTCTAAATTCAGGTGTCTTCAATTGAGATTTTAATAAAATTTTACAATTTTTCGTGGGATTCTTATGAATTTTGTGAACATTTATTCAAATTCAACAAATTTATTAGATTTATAATCTTTTAAAATCTATCAAAATCTTAATTGAGGGTACTCCCCTTAATCTTTTTCCGAGGAATCAAGAAGTATGAATGCACCCCAAAACTCCACCTTCATCGAAATACCACCCAAATCTTTACCACCATCCATTCTCATCGTTATTGGATATCCATTTGTTGATGTTGCCAACCCCTCTTTACCCATGGCATATTTACCACCATCGCCTCTTAATCTTTTTTGTGAAGAGCCAAGAAATGTGAACATGTTTATAGAACATATCAATTTTTTTTATTTTGTATGTGCTTTCGTCTGCGACTCTATGTGCAATGGGGAACAATGGCATTGCTTTGAATGAATTGTGGATGGGACCTTGTATATGTGTGATAGTGGCAGTTGAATTGAGGTAACGATGGTGACAGTGGATCTAGTGATTGATATGATGGTGAATCTAGTGATTGATGTGGCAGTGATGATGGCGGCAACCTCGGCGAATTTTCTTGGTTATGGTTGTTTTTGTGTTTTTGGGATGTGGTCGCAGCAGTGGATAGTGGTGTTTTTTGTGGTTTCAAATCTTGAGGTCGGCCATGGATTATAATGAGATGTTAAGATATGGTGGTGATTGTGCTCGATTTGACTAGTGATGGCATTGATGGTGGTGGAAATATGTAGCAGCAGTGGTGGTGGTAGAATTGGAGATTTCTTTTTGATGTGGCGATGATGGTGATGTTGTAACGACGAATGTTACAGGTAGTAGTAGCAATGTGACACTGATAGTGTAACAATAAATGTTACAAGTGTGGAATCGACGATGGTGGTGTAACAATGAATGAATGTTACAAGTGGTGGTGGCGGTAACCACGGTAACGATGGAAACATGCAACAAAATGTGTGTAGCCCATAGTGTTACAAGTGATGGAATAGGTGGCGGCAGCTTTGAATGCAGGGGATGTGAAATGCGCATAACACATTTTGCAAAATGTAATACATTGTGGTACAAATTTATTGTATTAAAAAAAATTAAGATAAGTAACATTTTTAAGAGTATTTGTGAATTAGTCCCTTTTTTAATTTTTTGAATAAATAAATAAATTCCATTGAGCTGAACACAAATGAGCCCTCCATGTTGGATTCAACATCTACCCGCTTATACTGGCTCGTGTCAGGTCTTGACCAGCACAACACATTTTAAGGGTCGATAAAAGTGCTTTTATTTGCAAAAATGTTTTTATTTTAACTCTTATTACTCGTTTATGGCAAATTGTGTATACATCTGTAATCACATTTCGGATGCTTCATAGGACAAGGCTGCAAATACACTAAACAAAATGGTAACACGATGATCACAATCAATTATCTTCGCACTTGATTCACATTTGAAATTACCACCATCGTTTACTTCTAAACTTGCTAAAGCAATTCAATCATCTTTAGTTGGTCCGACTGGAGTCCTGGAGAGAATAGGAGCTCCATTTGCTCGAGTATTCTCTTCCGATGCATTGCCCAAAAAAGAAGCTTGATTTTCGACTTCCTCTTCTGATCGGTTGCCTACCAAAGCAACTTGAGATTCACGAATTTCCTCTCTTGAAGCGTCCCTAGAAACAGCAGCTTCATTGTTTTGGACATTCTCTTGCGTTACATTTTCTGAGCTAGAAAGAGTGGCTTCTGCTACAGTTCTTGCAGTTCCAGCATTTGGAACTTGTGCTTGCCGAGCTTCAGCTGGTGTAGAGGCATTTTTCATAGTCAAGGAGCAATTGGTGATTGGCGCTTTCGCCAAGCCATTACGAATAAAACGCACGTTACTTGGCAGTTGATTCGAGAGACCTGTTGTCAAGGATTTAATTATAGAGCCTCCTCCAGCAATGGTACAAACGGCATTCTGAGAAAGTGGAGCCTCAATTTCCGATGAAGCAACAGGGGTTTTAACAATGCAGGCCCCAGCAGCAACTGCAGCCATGGAACCCTGGGTCTGAGTAGGATTTGTTGATGGTCTTTTCAGTGATGGTACACCAATCGACGATGTTTCAACAAAAACAGGATGGTTGGAGTTGCCTGCTTTGCTATTTGACGATGTACCACCTGTTACAGTTTCAACCAGTAATCAGTGAAAGCTAGTAAATCAAAAGTCTAATTAGCACTGGGCTCTCCAACCTTTCACGTAGTGTGGTTCTGAGTTCTAAACTTTCTAAAGTGAGGTTTTGGGTCCCCAACACAACATTATTCAAATTTTTGAATTTGGGTCCGCACATGATGGAAACCATCAATATCGACATTAAAATCGTATGCAGCTTTCACGTGACTCAAAGTTGGCATTAAGTGGCTTGACAATTTTTCCCTCCAGCTTTATGTCACGTGAAAATCCCATTCAATTATTATGCCCATGATGGTTTCCGTAACGTGGGGACCCAAATTCACATTTAAATGAGTTGGGGACCCAAAACCACAACAATTGAAAGATTAGGGAGCCCAGCCATAATCTTCCATAAAATAAATGAATGCATAATGAGAAATTATAGTGGATGGACAAGTGGACAACATCTACAGCTTGTTTGGGAGCGATTTTTTGCCCAAAAAAATTAATTTTTTGACCGTTATTTCACTATTCCAGCCGTCATATTTGACTTCTTCTCTTTCAGGTGGATCCCACTTTTCTCCTAACGGTCAAAAAATCAATTCTCAAAATCATTCCCAAAGAGGCTCCTAAAGTCATTCCAGGTTATTTATTTGGGGACATTAATCAACAAATAAAAAGAAAGAGGGAAGAGAAAAACCAAAACACGTACGACAGAGAGATACTTGCATGCTCCAAGAGACCACATTCAAATTGTAAAAACAATCACGCAACAAGATACTTCACCAATTTGATTTTAAAATGTTTGAGAAAACATGCACATGAATCAAAACTGGAATGTGATCCCAAATTTATATCCAAACAACATTACAAGAACAATTCAACATCCATATATTAGTTTGAAAGAATTTCAATGACATTTTGCACAAAAGATGGACCTACTTTGTTTGACAAGAGATGCCGCCAACTTTCCATCTGCATAATATCGGATACTTAATAGTGACAAAAACTGTTCCCACGTCAATATGGCAATATGGTGTCAGCAGAATAGGATGATTTCCTACACAATTGTCAGTCTAATCGCCAAACTACATTTAGGTGACGCAGGCAATAAAGGAGTGAGAAAATGGATAAACAAAGTGAAAATTATTTGGGCATATACGAGCTTGTTTGGCCTTATTTGATAGCCCACAACAGTATCTTAAACTTTAAGTATTTTTAGGTGGGGTTTTTTAGTAATTTCCAAGATATGAGTGCTTCTACAGCTATTCCAAATTTCGACCCTTGGTATGATGGCATGGGATTCCAGGCATGATGCTTTCTTCATCTTTCCTCTTCTCTTATTTTCTTTAACTTTTTACTGTTTTTGAGTTCTGTTAGCAGCATCCAAAAATGCCCCCAAGTCTGTTCTTTTCCAACCTCTTTTGATAATCCAAGACTTCAACCGTTCAAAACCCATCCAGAATTACAGAAGAATAGAAAACCCCAAGGTTGTCCTACAAAGATAGGGTTAGTTGCAGAGAGAATTACCAGTATTTGATGCTGCCTTCAAATGATCACCCAATGGCATATCTAGGGCAAGGGAAATTGCTCTGCGAGCCGCATGAATCTCAGAAAGTTGTGAACTGGCTCCCGCATTCAAGTTGCCTTGCTTTTTCCTGATAGTGGCCCACCTCTGGAGATTTATTGTATTTCATTATAATCAGTATAAAATCTATTGGCAAATTATTAGTTAAACACAAAATCTATTTGACAGAACAGGATGGCCAGAAGTTCACAAACAAGATGGCATTAAATCATGTGATTCCAACATCTATGGCCAGTGTTTAACATAAAAGATAAAAGCTAATTATAGTTATTAGCCTGCTAATTATAGTTAGTAGCCTGCTAATTGCAGCACAGGCGGCACCTACTTTTACAAAAACTTATTATATCCCAGACGAGGATGGGAATCAGTTCATCAGCTATCATTATTGTCCAATTTCTTGATGCACATACATTTATTTGAAAGCTAATAATCTCTCTTCCTCACGTCAATGCACATTCTTCTTCTTTAGGGGTTCACATCTAAGTTCCATCATTCATGCTCTAGTCCAAACGAGGAACTTCCTGGATACATCAGCCTATCAACAGCCATACTTGTTTAAAAAAGTGCAAATATAATCATGTATAAAATTAAAAGGAAAAAAAAAATCCCAGAATTAATCACTCCAGATCTCCTCCATCCCACTCTATTCCAATCTAAAATAGAAGAATTGTGTCATACCAATCAGTTCTTAGGTCCGCTTTCTCGTTCTAAATGAATGAAAAGTTTCAAAAAATAAGGCATAACATATGACTAGGAAGTACACAGTTATAGAACTACGAGAACCTGAGATAGCTCTGACGGTTTCCTATCGCCCTTAAAATCTCCTTTCAAAACATTAGCCCAATTCCGTTCACCACATTTTTGCACAGCGGCGATGAGTTGCATATCCTCTTCTGCAGACCAAGGCTTTCTTTTCCTTCGGGTAGGCAAATTACTGCTTGTTGACACATTAGTTCGCCTTTTTTCAGAACATGTTACACTAGTAGCCAATTGCTGTTTTTGTACAGAAACTGGAATGGTAATATTTGTCCACTGCATACAACTAGCAAGATGTGAACCCTCTGAAGGAGCTGTGGACTTCTCACGGTTCGGTATATTTATAGTTAATGGCGCCTCAATAGTTGAGTTGGTTGAGAGATGGGAATCATTTAGAGTACCAGAGGCAATTAACACCTGGAGAAGGTAAGGACGTCTTTAGTGGATATACAAAGGAAAATTAGCATATGTGAGCTAACTAAAAGAAAAATAAATAGCATGTTATAATATTTTGAAGTATATAGCATAAGCATGCCAACAGAAATCAATTGTAGGATCCTAAAATAAGTTTAAATTGCAATCTGATTCAACCCACAAATAAATTTCTATTTTAGTAAACAATTCAATTTTTTCCCCAAACAATGTCCAGAGTAGCAGTTTCTAAAAGCAAAAACATTCAACTTATTGGCCATTAAGTTGCTCATGAGCAGGTCAAACTGACATTGTTCTCGTAAAAGCTCAGAAAGTTGTTGGGTAAAAAAAAGGTTAATATTCCCCTAGAAAGCACCCTGGTGTTTCTAAGCCCAGCAGGTAACAAGACAACTTACTACACAACTCATACATTTTCTGAAATTCAAAGATAAAAACTCCAGCACATAAAAAAATAAAAAAATACACCATTCCTGCCAGCAGTCCCCTCTTCCCACCCATTCAAGACTCATTGCTACTTGCTCTAGTGCCAGTAAACCTTCTCCAAACTGCAACCTCTCCACACCTTCCCTCACAATCTATAACCTTTCCCCACCAGTGACCCACTAACTCTCTTCCGTGGTCCCAACTTTCTCTTGTCACCGTTAACTCCTCCATATCATCCAGCCATCAATGCCAACAACTTCTCAACTCTCCCACCTTCCCCCACAACCATCGATACCACAACCCTAAATCAACTACCCCAATTCCCACATCAACACAGCTCAAGATATCAATTAGCAACAGAGATGGAAAGCAATAGAAAAGATAAAAGAAAGAAAATGGGGGGGGGGGGGGGGGGGGGGGGGGGGGGGGGGGGGGGGGGGGGGGGGGGGGGGGGG